CCCCCCCCCCCCCCCGGGGTGGCCTTGGTGGCACTGGGGTGACACGTGCCAGCCCTGCTGACGTCCCCTATGCTGGTGCCACTGTCACCTCCCCAGGGTGTCCTTGGGAAGGACAGGGGTGACACTGGGGGGCGGTGGACACACACAGGGGGGACATGCCAGGCGTGGCACTCACAGGGTGACAGCAGGGACTGGTGACAGTGGGGACACAGAGGGGACACACTGGGGGGGGGTCTCAGCGGTGGCACTGGCAGGGTGACAGCAGGGACTGGTGACAGTGGTGACACAGGGGGGACACACTGGGGGGAGTCCCAGCGGTGGCACTGGCAGGGTGACAGTGGGAACAGGTGACACAGGGGGGACACACTGGGGAGGGTCCCAGCGGTGGCACTGGTGCCAGTAGGTGACAACGGGGACAAGTGGCAGCAGGGATGGGTGACACAGAGGGGACAGGTGACACAGAGGGCACAGGTGACACAGAGGGGACACGCTGGGGCGGGTCCCTGTGGTGGCCCTGCTGCTCAGGGACCCAGCAGGTGACAACAGGGACAAGTGACAGCGGGAACGGGTGACATGGTGGGGGGGGATGTGCCAGGGCTGGCATTGGCACTTGGGGACCTGGCAAGTGACAGGGGGGACACGAGGGGGGACACAGGGGACAGACACACGCTGGGGGTGGCACCGGTGAGGTGGCAGCAGGGACAGGTGGCACAGGGAGGGGACACAGTGGGGACACACCAGGGGTGGCACCAGCGCTTGGGGACCTGTTGGGATGACAGTGGGGACACAGGACACGGGTGACACACGCAGGGGGTGGCACTGCTGAGGTGACAGCAGGGACGGGTGACATGGGAGGGGACACAGTGGGGTTGGCCCCAGTGGTGGCACTGACAGGGTGGCAGTGGTGGCAGGTGACATGGGGAGGGGACACAGTGGGGACACCCGGCCCCCCGTGGTGGCCCTGGGACCTGGCAGGGTGACAGCAGGGCCCGGTGACAGCGGTGACAAGTGACAGCAGGGATGGGGGGGGGGTGGCCTCAGCCCTGTGACAGGACCTGTCGCAACAGGACAGTTCCTGCCACCCCTTCCTGTCCCCGAGGGGGAAGTGACACTGAAGTCCCCAAGTGAGGGGGGGGAGGGGACACCACAAGGTCCTCTGTGGCCACTCAGTGTCCCCCAGGGCCTTGGGGACACCTTGGGGACAACCCCGTCCCCGAGGCAGACCCACCGCAGGGCAGGGTTTTACCCCCTGTGAGGTGTCCCTGGGGTGTCACTAGGGTGTCCCTGGGTGTCCCCACTCCCTCGGTGCCACCATCTGTCCCCGTGTCACAAACTTTTGTCCCTTTTTGTCCCTTTTGTCCCCATCTTGGCAGGACTTTGGATGGGCAGAGCCCCCCCCGGCCATGGGGCAGAGCGAGTCGGAGCCGCAGGACGAGGCCGAGGTGGGACCTGTCCCTGTCACCTCAGTGTCCCCACCCCCCCAGGGGACACCAGGGGGGCTCAGCTGTCCCTTGTCCCCCACAGGACGGGCCCCTGAGGGCGGTGCTGCCGCGGTTCTTGACCGACCGGCTCCCGACCAGCGTGGTGAGGGGATGGTGTCCCTGTGTCCCCATGTTCTCATGTCCCCATGTCTCCTTGTCCCCATGTCCCTGTGTCCCCATATCCCCAGTGTCCCCATGTCCCTGTGTCCCCATATCCCCAGTGTCCCCTTGTGCCTGTGTCCCCTTGTGCCTGTGTCCCCATATCCCCAGTGTCCCCTTGTGCCTGTGTCCCCTTGTGCCTGTGTCCCCATATCCCCAATGTCCCCATGTCCCTGTGTCCTCATGTCCCCTTGTGCCTTTGTCCCCATGTCCCCGTGTCCCCTTGTCCCCATGTCCTCATGTCCCTGTGTCCCCATGTCCCCGTGTCCCCTTGTCCCCATGTCCTCGTGTCCCCGTGTCCCCATATCCCTGTGTCTCTATATCCCTGTGTCACCAGTGACGGTGTCCCCCTGTCCCCAGGGACAGTGTCCCCTTGTCTCTGTGTCCCCAGTGCACCCACATCCCACCCAGCACGGTGAGCCCAGGGACGATGTCCCCATGTCCTCCTGTCCCATGTCCCCATGTCCTCCTGTCCCATGTCCCCATGTCCCCCTGTCTCATGTCCCCTTGTCTTCATGTCCTCATGTCCTCTTGTCTCCATGTCCTCTTGTCCCCTTGTCTTTATGTCCCCTTGTCTCCATGTCCCCATGTCCTCCTGTCCCATGTCCCCTTGTCTCCATGTCCCCATGTCCTCCTGTCCCCTGTCCCCTTGTCTCCATGTCCCCCTGTCCCCTTGTCTCCATGTCCCCTTGTCTCCATGTCCCCTTGTCTCCATGTCCCCTTGTCTCCATGTCCCCTTGTCTTTATGTCCCCTTGTCTCCATGTCCCCTTGTCTCCATGTCCCCTTGTCTTTATGTCCCCTTGTCTTCATGTCCCCATGTCCTCTTGTCCCCTTGTCTCCATGTCCCCATGTCCCCAGGGGTGTTGTCCCCACATTCCCATCCTCAGCAGTGCGGTGAGCAGGGAACACTGTCCCCAGGTCCCACTGTCCCCGTGTCCCCATCCCGACCAGCACCATCAGCGGGGGACACTGACCCTATACACCCATGTCCCCAGTGTCCCCAGTGCTGCTCAGCACCCCCTGGTGCCCCTGAGGTGGCCCAAAAGTGTCCCCATGTCCTTGGGGACAGTGTCCTCGTGTCCCCAGTGGTGCTCAGCACCCCCTGAGGTGTCCCAAAAGTGTCCCCTGGGGACATGTCCTGGTCCCTGACCCCGCCCAACCCCTCCCCTCCCTCCCTCCCTCTCCCCACGGTGGCCGTGCCATCTGTCACCCCCCCCACTCTCATCCCCCTCCCCTGGGGACCTTGGGGACCACATGGGGACCCCCCCTTGTCCCTCCACAGGTAGTGGGGGCCCTCCTGGGCCTCGGCCTGGCCGTGGTGGCGGTGGTGACGGCCGTGGTGGCCCTGCTGCACCGGCTGCGCCTTAAGGGTGAGTGACACGGCCCCGGTGGCCTCGGGGACGGGGTGGGGGGGGTAAAAGGGGGGATGGTGACAGCGCCACAACCCCCT